CTTTCAGTTAGCCTTCCCAACTCTTTAGTGATATCTGAAATCACTGTCGTACCTGTGGCTCCTCTCCCAACCGCCTCAGTGACCCAAATCACTAAAGTCGAGAATATCAACATCGTTACTGTTAAACACTCACGACCATCAGTCTCAGCCATCTTCTCCTCCCCTTCATCTTTGGTCTCTACACATGTTTATGATTCATCAGGGAATGTCCTCCCTGATGATGAGACACCCACCACCATACCTGAGTTTACTCCTCTCGAGGCAACTCGACAAACTAGCACCTATCCTCTCGAAGGCACCATGGAGCACACCAGCGCTAATCCTTCAAATAACGCTGAAGAACCCTCGGGTACTCCACCTTCCTACCCTTTCATTTCTACTAACCCCGAGCTTCCTTATGCTCACTCTCAATCTTTTTCAGGTCCTTTTGAGGAACCAGCCATGGAAGATGCGTATGACATGGCTAAAGATGTAAAGCTGCTCCTCCCTGCTGTTGAGACTGTCCTCATCAAAATAGACAAAGTCCATAAGAGATGCCTCAAAGGGACTAAGTAGTTGCTGACCTCTTAGCTGTTCGGGCTGAAGTACAAGGGGTCAAGGACCAACTCTCCATGATACAAGTGGCTATCCAAGCCAACGCTGAGGCCATCAACGCTTTATCAAGCAAGGCCGATGAATCGAACTCTCACCTTGTTCAGTATACGGAGCTGATGCAGTAGATTTTGGCTGCTCTTCAACAGCCAGTTCCAGCACCTGAACCTTTATTTACTACTGAAGACCGCGACTAGCTTGATCAAACGCATGAGGCCGCTATTCTCCTTGTCCGCGCTATGACTAGAATCGAAGAGATGATGGTGCTCCAAATCCGCACATTCGACCACTTCTTTGGCTGTTGCACGAAAGTCATTGCCAAAGAGGGGAGACAAGTTCTGCAGTTGGTCCCTCCAATGTTGTTGATGCCCCTGAAACTGCTGAAACTGCTATTTCAGCAATAGGAGGCTGAAGCTGAAGCTAATCCTGAAGTTGAAGCTGAAGTTGCTGAAGAAAACCCAACTTCCTATGAAGCTCCTGTAGCTAAGAATGTTGATGTCATTCGAGCTAACACTGAAGCTCACGACGATGATCTTCCAGTCACCTTTGCAGCTAATATTGGTGATCTGGATGATTATAAAGATGATGAGGAAGAAGACGATGAATCTCCCAACCTTCCTGACATTGGCAACTATCTGGATGATGATGATGATGAAGATGACGATGACGAAGACTTCACAATTTAGTACTAGAGACCTGCTAGTGCCACAAAAGGCGTCGCCCTTAGGGATTCTGCATCCCAGGGGGAGCAAGGGGAGAAGGAGAAAGAGGCTACTCAATCAAAAAACCAGAACACCAAGTCGAAAGACAAAGGTATTGCTGAAGAAGGAACCTAAAGGTATTATTCCAACCCTTAGAGCCTTTAACAAATGAATCCTCAAGCCTTATCATTATAACTTCCATGTACCAACTCTCCATCCCTACAACTACCTACGGTTGGCTGAAGGAATGGGTCCCTAAAAACCATCCCCCAGCGCTCCCACCGACCAGCAAATGTTTCAGCTCAGGGAGTCACTCGACCAAACTAAGACTGTGGTGAGTTCGACCTCCTGAAAGACTCGAGGCGGTCAAGGTCGAGGAAGAACTAAACCATCAACGTAAACAGACTGAGAACAGCTCAAAGTTGTCCAAGTCTCTTACCACCAAAGTTCTTTCAAGGAAGAAATCCAAGAAGATGGTGAGTGTTGTCCAGGACCAGGCTAAGCTTCTCTCTAATGAAGAAGCTGAATGCGAGAAAGCACTAATGTCGACCGACCATGACAGAATATGGAGCGAAGATCATCTAGAAAAGAGAGTCAGCCCTCATCCTATTTCAAATGTCACCATCAGTGGACGAATGAAAGATGGTGGGTTGCTAGGCTTAATACTCATCACTAGGGATAACCTTGACACGGTCACCGAGAATCCTTCCTACCTCGGCGAGTATGGCTACAGTGAATGGATGGAGATCCGCCAAGCCATTCAGCGCTCAAAATCAAGACATAAGCCGATTATCAAATACATCATCAGTGAGCTGATCAAGAAGATGTCCAGGTATGTTGTTGTCTCTGAAAATCCAACTCTGAAGAAAGGTGGAAGAAGAAAAAGACCTTCAAGTCCTAATGACGGACCAACCCTGAGAAACAAAAATAAAACAATGTTTTCCTTGGATGAAGTCCTGAAGACTACGAAGAAACCGGACATCTCTATGTTGAAACACTCACTGCCAGCGAAGGGTCCCTACATACCCAACACTGTGCACATCAAGCCTGAGTTCTTAACTATGAAGGCGAAGTCAGGTTCCAAAGAATATCCGAGTTACATCTCTGCCCAATGGAACATCTTGCATACATCCGATATTGGTTGAACGATGATATATATGGTGAAACGATGGACATCAAGATCAGAAAGGAATTTCGATGTCGAAAGGAGCTCGGAGAAGATGTACCTGGCTACATCAATTTGAACAACTTAGATTAGTTATTTCTATTTAGTAATTTGCCATTCACTGTATATATCTTTTATTCTATGTTGACTTTCAGTATTCAACTTATATATTGTAAGTCTAAGATATGTACTGAAAAACTTGTAATATTTCCTTTGAATTAATATAAGTGTTTCATTTGTATCATTGAAAAAAATCCCTGAAAAGAGTAATAGGGACACATGTCTATGAGTTCCAGTGTTCTCTTACATTCACCGACAATCTATAAGTCAATGAACATGTTTTCAGTTTTTGTTTCCCTTCTTATACCTTCTCTTGAACTTGTAACCTAAGAAAATTTTCTAAGTAAAAAACTCACTGAAAAAGATCCCAAAACAGTTAAAATGGACATGTACTTTATATGTAACTTTTCTTTACTGCTATTTGATAAGGCAACTTTCTTTATGTTGCTTTGTTATCATCAAATAGGGGGAGATTGTTGATCCTCTCTCTTATTGATTTGATGTTAATCCTTTTTACCTTATACAAAATATTTATGTTTATGTCTTTCAGTTCCAGCGATCTTCACTGAGTTTGCTCAGTGATTGCTGAAACATGTATTGTAAATCCATCAGCGACAGTGATACCTCAAGAAGATAAAACTCACACCAAATAACCTTCAACTAAAGTCGAATACTGAAACTGAAGATTAGAGACTAGCGCGTTCGTGATCTGAAGCGGCATTTAGTGATTACAACCTAGTCAACATATGTGTGAAGACTGTCCATGCCTCAACGAATGCTGAAGAGACCTTCAGGGTTATTCCAGCATTCAAAAATCAAAAGAAGCTTGTTGTGCAAGATTGATTTTGTCTTGTTCTTCCACACACAAAGGACAAACACATACCCTTTCTGGAGTATAGTACGGTACGGAGCCGATTAGTTGACTCTAACTCCATGAAAGGATGTGTGCTCATCACTAGGCTTTTGTACTATTCACTGTAGCAAAGGACAGGATTTTCTCTAAAAGCTTGACGCATGTTTAAACCTTACTGTATTGCATTAAATATGCATTTAATGCAATGGGTATAAATAGATGAATGTTCTCTCCATGCAAACTACGTGCATACACACAAGAGATCACACACACATCTAAGAACACTTACGCTTATCTTCAAAGCAAGTTAGAATCTTTTTTAAATATTCTAAAAAGTTCTTACCCAGAAATAACTCATTTCCTTTTTAGTCTTAACAGCAAATCTTTTCTCTTTGCTAAGATCGTTTGTGTGTAATTTAGATTATTTTAGATAGGTTATCTTTACCTTATCTTTTTTCGCATACAATCATGTAAAATCTATATTGATCCTTCTTTATCAATATATATTTTAAATTAGGAAAGTTTTCTATGTTTGTATCCATCCCCTCCCCCACTTCTACAAACGGTTTCTATAAAACTCTTTTAGACCCTTACGGGACCAACAATAAGTGTTCATAATTGTTCCACTATGTTTATATGTGAAAGCCACGAACTAAGATTTTTTTATAAGTTACAAATATGTTCATATGTATTTATAAGTGTTCATAATGCAACACGAATGTTTCTACGAACTATAAAATGAATGAGCAATTACCAATTTATAACTGATGTAATTATTTAATTGTCGATTTGGACATCTCTCCCAAAAATACCCTTGTTCACCTATGTTTTGGTAACCTTCATTTCTAATTAACTACAATATGTCACAATTGATCTCATCCATAGATTTTAAGAATCAAAGGTCAAGATTGGTTCATAAAGTTAACACCAATTATGGGTTAACAAAAGAACCTACACCTATATATATATATATCTCCTATTACAAGTAGGATAATCATTAAGTTAATTACCTTCTATAATTTGAAAATCAAACCTAAAAATGAACTAGGACTTTTTATTGGATGAGTGTCTAGGTTTACATGGACTATAAATAAAGGAGATCAAGTCTCAATTGCCTACACAAATTTTGCATTCAGTTCGACCTCATTCTAAAGCAAACTATAATAGAGTTTTAGATAATTTTTTATCCATACTTGAGGAAGACTACTTCCGTATCGATCAATTTCGCTGCACCCAACTTAAGTGTTCCATTTTAGCTTTATTGAACTCTATTACAGTATTATGTTGAAACAATTTCTATATGTCTTTGTGTTTCCTATGCCTTCATCTTTGTTACTACATGCTTAAGTAAAAATTCAAATATTGATAACATCGAACGTCCGCAATCTTCAACTCTTTGGCTTTCACTCATCCATTGTTTTCTATCATTTTCTTCATGTTCTACACTTGGATACATATCTATTTTTACCGGTACATTAGATTGTACAACATCCAACTATCGTAGTATTAACGAAACAATGTTTACAGTTTTACTTCTCATCTATTATGTTATATTCATAAATATATTAATTGATCTTGGATTATCTGAAACAAACAGAAAATGAAATATATATGTATATATATTGATGATAGAGAAAGAAAAATATAACATTGATGTAGGCCAGATTTGTAAGAAAGAAGATCCATGCATGGAGCTGGCTCACAACTTTATTGCTCAAAAATCACAAAATCCCTGTTGGAAGGTGGTCGAGTGAAGCTCAATTTCCCATCTAAATGGACCTTGAGACCTATAAAACGTCAAGTGGCATTATTAGAAATTTTGGAATATCTTAATATTACTATAACTGTAATCATTACTGTTGGTATTATGCAATGCATGGGTCAGGGAGTGTGCATAATCTGAACCTAATATACCCATGTACGTAGTAATGTTTTGTGTCACTCCCAAAGCACAAAATATAAAAAATTTATAATACATATTCACCTTTTTTAAATACAACATTTAAATTGATATATAATTAAATAATAAAAAAATTATTGATAACCATATATATATATATATATAAAAGATCATTTAGTGTGACAGAACTTGAGAGAATCTATAAATGATAATCAGTCTAAGGGGTTGTTTGATAGTTGCTGAATGATTTGTTGTAGAATAATTAAATGGTTAAAATAATTAAGAGGCTCTTATAATACATTGCAAAATGAAATATAATTGATTGGTAATTATTCAGAATGAAATTAAGGTACTGAATGGTTAAGAGAGACCAAAGATACAAAATCATTCAGCGCGTTTTAGAACCATTAAGAGACATATTTTTTATTTTTTTTGTCAAACAAGATTTACCTTTTAGTGATTCAGATCTTATCTATTAATGAAAGTATGTATGAAGAAGTAAACAAACAAGCTCTAATTGATACTTTATAAATAAGATAAATATTAAAACATATTGCATTTCTTTTAGAAACAGAAATATCTTCTGAATCCAAGTTTTAATGGGTTTATTGAATGTATCTTTTAGAAAGGGAAAATATCAATAATTATTGTAAAACCTTTTTATCAATATAAAACAACAAATTGTATCAAAATCAGGCTTGCATTTCTAATATTAATTTTGTCAAAAACTTTATCTTGATGTATACCAACAAATAAAAAAGATCAATATAAAAATGTTTCTTTGCTTGCAAAGTTTTGGATTGTCTTCTCTACACAAACTTAGTTTGTTTCCTAAAACAATAACGCATTTTCTAAAATCTTGGTTTTGCATGTAAGTTTCTCATAATAAATCAGAAAATAAAGTAATTTCCGTGTTGATAAAATTTGAACCAAAAATATTACACAACATCATTCAATATCATATCATGAAAATTTTCTAGCAAGTAAACCCGACTCATGCATATTACTTGGCTCCCAATCTCGTTCGCTTTGTCATCTCTTGTTATGTATTATGTCGATTTTTTTTAATGAAAAACTTTATTTTACTCAAATAAAAATTTCATTTCAATTATTTATATTTGGTGTAAGTTAAAGGAGAAATTGCATTTTAAAAAAATAAAATATATTTTAAAAAAGATTCATATATTTTGATGTCTTTTCGAAAAATATGTTACAACATAACTATTTTTAAATCATAGACTTTTAAGCAACTCTTTCAAAATGTTTTTCATAAAATAATAAATTAATTAAATGAAAGTTATGGCTTATGAACAATAATGACCTGAATAAAATGATATCACTTTGAGATGTATCTAATTACTAGGTAAAACTAATGGACTTTCCATAAAAGGAAATCCTAGACTAACGAACATAACAAGGTACGTTACTATTTTTGGAACGTTTAGTCAGGTAATTCAACTTGCAAGTTGCAGCTTCTTGATGTGTGCAACAGAGGAAAAACAAACCCTTTCCTTTGTCTGTCTTGAAGAACAGTCAAAGATTGAAGTTTCATTGGTTAATGTGCCCACCTCATTTTTTTGGCATCTATATTTTGGATTTTTTTTAATTCAAAATTAGGAGTTAATCAATCCAAATCCTGTATCTGGTTATTGCTTAATAGAATTTCTTTCACAAATTAATCCGTTATAATGAGATAGTTGTTTTAGGGCGGTGATTGTCTTTAAAAGTCATGTATAAGACACTTTTTAAAAGTATCATCTATAAAGACTAATACTTATTTTTATATCCGTTTAGGCTCTCAAACTTGGTCGATTTTCTTTCTAGAAACTTATTTTAATGTAACTTATAAGACATAGAATTGTTAATTTTATAAAATCAAAATCCTATTAATTACTCTGTTATTGATCGATGTTCAGTGACGATTGGACGACATAAAAAACACATTAGTGATGTTTTTCTACACTTTTTACGAAAATAATTAGCACAATAACCTGTATATTTGATTGTGCACAATAAGCATGTTTGAGTATTAATGGAAACATAATAGGCATGCTTGATACAAACACAACAACAGGAATCACACACACTTAATTTGATATAGTTGGATTAACAAAATTTGCTTACCAAGAAGTAGCTTTCACCGTGTTGTAACCCAAGCGCGCAAACCCCACTCTCACTGAGAGGCACCGGCACGCCAGATGAATGAACGAGCATCAAATCTTCGCCGAATAAAGCTTTCATGTTAAATGGGCCGCTCTCCACCTCCGTTGGAACTCCATTGATGAACACGGTGATCACTCCTGAAGCTTCAAATAATTAAATCTCAGTAAAGGATTCTTTAGTCTCTTACATTTTAATATGCATATATATAACGAAACAAGGTTCACCTTTAGAAAGGTTGGATTACCCGAGATACCCATTGGTCTTCAAAGAAAAGAATACTAATTATTTGGATGGGTTTCCTGAGCCTATACATGAGATTGATTGTTTCATTTACAGAAATGGGGAGCTTTATTTAAATTATTATTTTTGATTTTACATGTTCAATGAGTTTCAGACTCTTAATTCCAATTAATATTCTTGTCATCATAAGAAGTTAACTCATACAAGAAAATACTTCTCTTTTAAATGATAAAATAATTAAAAACAAGAAATTTTTAATTATAATTTTGGAACATTAAGTATTTTATCTTGATATGAAATTGTATTAATATAGCACTTTTTCATACAAGAATTGTGAATTTGAGATATAAAATTGTGTATTTTGCATGAATCAAGTGGTTTAATTAAGGGATTGATCAAGATGTGGTAGATAAAAATAAAAGGAGATCTATACATCTATTTCAATAAGTAATTAACCCTACCAAATTCATAATGAACTTTTGAAGTATCTAAATGCTGGAAACTTGAAGGCATGGAATTAGGGTTTTGCTCAATTTCTGGGAAACTCGCAGCTTGACTAGAAACGGGATAGATCTCGTCTGCACCACCCAACCGTGAAGAAGTCGAAGAAGAAGAAGAGTTGGATCCTGGTGGAGGTGGCAAAGATTGTAGCAAGGGGAAGAAACTAGGTGGTTGTTGCATAACAAACCCTGGTGTGGCCGTGGTGTATGCAGCATCTTGATACTGAATTGCACCATCACCACCACCACCACCACCACTACTGCTGCCACCGTCACCACCGCCACTAACGCATCTTGTAACCATTGATGATTGTTGTTGTTCGCTGCTTACAAGGTTGGCCTGAATCTGCCGCTGCCGTCTGCGAGATCTGGAACGGCGGTTCTGAAACCAGTAGAAAACATTGGCGTCACCAACTGACCCGAATTTTTCGAGCAGCTTCCTGATCTTGACGGTTTCATCCTTTGGAGGATTAACCATTCCGCTGTTGAAGATGGATTCGAGTATAAGAATCTGTTCAGGCTTAGGGGTCCATCTTGACCTAACTGGTTCATGATTTCTTTCAAGACATTGGGTTCTTGGACTGGTGGGGGGTGGTGTTTGAGTTTGAGTTTGAGCTTGAGCTTGATCTTCCATGACTTTGAGACAAGAAAGCAGCGGTAGAATACTTCAAGATCAGGCTGTGTTGGGAAAGAACAAAGGGCACATAAAAAAATTGGAGAGCACATGAACGTACAGAAGTAGAGAGGTTACACATGAATTTGTAAGCAAATGGGTGTTTGTTTATAGTATTTAAAAAGCCAAGAGAGAGCGCCACGTTTCAATACATACTTCTTATATACGACGGGTTGGCATCACCTTACGTCATTACTTGTTTATTAAAAAATGTTTAAACAACAAATTAACTAATTTAACTTGTTATTTCAAAGATAAAAACATATATATGGAGGCAAATTTCATTAGGAAACCAGAACTACTCCACACCAGTGATATATTCATCATAAGTGTTATTTCTTATGAATGTATTAATAACAAATAATATGCTCATATTTATTGTGAATGCATGATATATGATAGTTAACACTTTGATATTCATCATAAATATGTTATTAATGATGAATATTTTCATCTTAAAGTAGGACACATGACACGTCATGAATGTTTCTCGGGTTCTTAATCAATATTGGGTTCCTGATAAAAGAAACTTTCATATATATAAAATGGAAAAAAACCCATTTTACATAAATACGAGATTCCAATTGAAGTTCAAGTACTTTAGATAGCAATCTCACTCCATAAGAAATATTAGGGATGAAAAGCGCTTAAACAATTAATGCTGGAAAAAAACATATCTTGGAGAACTTATGTAATGTCATTCATCAATTCATCTCCTAAATGTTCTGGAGAAAAACTGCATCATAGAGAAATCACATAATGTATTGCACTTTATGATATTGGGGGAGTACTTTTCAATTAAGCAATCCTTTATAAAATAATCAATGAGTAAGGTGACATTTGTCTTTTGAGAGATGTTAAAATCTGAATTTTATTTTACTTCTAATTGATAAGATATGATGTTGAAATTTGAAGTATGAATCAATAAGACTGATTTTGTAATCTGAAAAATGTCTGAGTTTGTATAAATTGTTTATTTTACCAATTAGAAAATTAGTGTATGATTTATAGATAAATTTATACAATTTAATATATTTATTCATCATCATTATGGACAAGATATGTCAGTTACTTTTTACTTGGAAAAGAGATCAAAACCCTGAAAAAACTTACTGCAAGATTAAAACAACTTTGAGGCTACTAAACCAGCATACCCATTTTTATAATTTCCAACATTATCTAAAAATGATTTGGAATAAAAACCAAAAAGGACTTAAAAATAAACCCAATTACATTCATTTAGAAACCAAAAAATTAAAGAACCCAATCCATGAAAACCCAAAATCAAAACTGAGTCCCTTTGTCAAATATACCAAAGCCAATAATCTTCACTACATAAACTGTGTACAATAAATAAAAGCCAAACATGCAATCAGCTTCTGCAGAACCAGAAGCCCATTCCAACTGAATCCAAAAACAAATGATATGAACTTAGAGAAAATTAATAAGTCCAAAAACAATAGCCCCATTTGTAAGATGCAAACAAATGAACAATCCCAAGATGAAGCCAAATTCTTATCATTACAACAGCTGGTTCAAAACATTTGCAAATTCTGTAATAGGTCAATAACAGAAAAAAGAAATATAACCAAAGGATCAGTAGCCATATTCAACAAGTTCATCAAACACAACATCCATTTGGTCCCTATTGTTCTTGGGAAAGTGCAAACCAGTCTCTACATTTTTGTGCTTCTATGTGCTCAGGTATTGGCTCAGGATTTGAGGAACTCTGCATATAAATCCATTTTATAAATCCAATAAAATCCTCAATTCTCCATTGTGCAAAACCATGTTAGAAACTTGATTTCATACACAATAAACCATAAATGAAAGTTGACCAATTTAGGGACAACAATCTTCAAAAAGCTCTAAAAAAATGGATTATGAGAAGCTGTAAAATCAAGTTGGACAAGCGTACTCGTCATATAACTCTTAATTAGGGGCAGAAATACTAAGCCTTCATACTCCAGAAGTAGCACTAAGAAGACAAACACTCAAAACTGAACCAAGAACATGAAGTATTGAATGAGAAAAAAGAAATATCAAAGAAATGGAAGAAAATTACATGTTACACTCATTAATGTCTTTGTTGGTGTGCTTATCAACGCAGTCCTGCTCAGGGCACTCTTCATACAAGCTGAATAATCTCCACACGCCTCACCTTTCATACATAGACCACGGAGCCAGTGGCGAGACAATAATCTAAGATTCTTTACATAAAAGAAAACCCATCCTTGAAACAACTCCAGAGATGGAAATATAGCTCTACATTGCAGCAACTATATGACAATTGTTATGTAAGTTCTTTACTAAATGAATGGATGTTGATCACTCACTTAAAACAATTAATAAGATATGATGATTTTTCTACGTATATGATAGACTAATGTTGAGTTAGAAAGAAGAGTATGACCAAATATTCCAAAACTAATGAGGCCTCCAAAAAGAGAAGAACAACCCTGGCACCAAGTAGGACAATAACGAATAAGAGATCATACAAAGTTTACATGTTTATGGGATAAGTGATTCAATTTAAGATGTCGGAATCATATAGTGAAAGATATATATCACATATTGATGACATGTCATCAGTAGGTTGAAGTGCTCCAAGACTAATCATATTGTTCATAACCTACAAAATCATAGATACTCGAGTGTCAATGTTATCAGGCCTAACCACAAGAAATGAAAGATTGTAGGAACAAAGGCATAGAAAAGATCCATCATTCTAGCCCTCGTGAAGGGCTTAATCCCCCTCATAATGCCAAAATCATAATAGATTAATGATTCATCCACATCAATAGCAATATTTCCATGATGAGGATCAACATGAAAGAAGCCTGTTTTCAGTTTCTACATATAGCAGACAACTTGTATGAAAAAAATGGAGAAAGATTTTAACACCTTGCTACTTATGCAAGAAAACTATATCAAGTTGATGCATAAAAACATAGATTCTTCACTAGTATCAAATATGCTTCCAAAGCACTTGAAGAGATTTGAGATCGATTTTAACCCATTCCATCTATAGCATCTAAGTTATTAATCTTAATTCATGTACACAAAAAATTTCAAATGCAACGCCATAAATAATGGTGATTCTTTAGCTTTTCAAACTCGCAATAAGATTATATTAGTAACTCAATGAAATGGGGTTTAAGTCTGAAACCTGGTACATACTCTAATGTCAACACCTTGTTTGCAATATAATCCCAGAAAACTTGCTACATTATAAAGATGAACATCATATTAGAACATATTCCTCTTGGAGGCCATCTAGGAAGGAATTCCTTCAAAATAAGGTTATGGAGAAATGGAAAGCATAAACTCTAGCAAGAGACATACAGGCATACAAACCCATAGAAAATTCAAGAACCCTAACCCACATAAGTGAAGAATTCGAAAGAAATCAACACACATAAACAATTAATTCGAACGCTTACCCATAGAAAACTCAAAAATCCTAACTAACCAAATGAAGATGGAAAAGAAAAAAATTGCCTCAATTGGAACCCTAGCCGTATTTGAAGCATGGATCGAGAGTGAATCAATGTATGGTGATCTTGAATAAGTAATCATCGTACTGGATATTGAATCGTCAACTTTTGAATCGTCATTTTAGAAGGGAATCGATGAGAGTATGTCGAGCGATTACATGGTGATCCTGAATGAGTAATCATCATGTGGGAGCTTGAATCGTCAATTTCTGAATCGTCACTTTAGAGGGAATCGATGAGAGCGTGTGGAGCGATGAGAGTTTGTCTTGGGAAGATAATCGAGGAGTGTGAATGTAGGATTGGTAACTTGTACATGACGCACAAATCATTTTTTAAAAATTTTAAGATTCATGCATAAACAAGTAGTACCTTATGTATTGAAGGTTGTTTTTAAGACTTTTAAGACTTCATGCATGTTGGGTCTGAATTTCAGTCTTAAATTGTATTCGTCTTGAAAGTTAATAAATGTCTATAATTGTAAAGATAACGTGTTTGACTTTCCTTGTAAGGTTGACTTTGTCTAGAAGGGTTAATGTTTGACCCTATATAACCTTTTGTCTTTAGTGTAATTGGTAGGAGAGCTTTCATTGTAAAAATATACGTATATTTGAGAGTTAATAGAAGGTTTGACTTATTGACTTTTCCTCTCATCTCCTCTCAATGTGTTCTTGAAGATTATATGAATTTGCCATGAATTGTATGAAGATATCTGAAAATTGATCATATTGTGGACTCACATTTGGTATCAGAGCAGGTTATGCAAGAAATCACGAGAAGAAATCACGTATTCTGAATAATCTTTGAAGAAAATTTTCTGAAGTTCATATGTTTTCATCTTGTGTTCTTCATTTTTTTAACGAGTTTGATCTAAAAAAAATTCAAAATTTTGTGTTTTTGTGTTAAAATCAAGATCATAATGTGCGTAACCACTTCGTGAATCTTTGTCATTCACAAAAATTTGTATTGTGATCATCGGTTTTCAAGATGTGTTAAAAATTGTGGTTTTAAAATTTTTGGGTGTTCTTGAAAAGTTTTTAAAAAGTCTGAGCTTAATCCAATTTTGAGTGAAAAATTAATCATTTTTGTGTTTTTGGCTTGATTTGATTGGATTAAAGTCTTAAATCGCTTGATATTGTGTTTGGTTTCTAGTTTTAGACAATTTTTTTTCTTTCTCATAAAATCATCCAAGGCTACCTTGGTTTGCTTTCTTGGGCCTTAATCCTTAGTCAAGACTATCTCCCGGACACATATCATCGCACAACATAACAAGGTGTCTGGTTTGTGACTTTTAAGTGTAAATCGCTCACCTTCCTGTTCGAGTTCCTTCTAAATCGCATACCTTGTTCTATTAATCAAGATACTGTAATCGGTTCAGTTTACCCCTAAATCGCAAACCTTGTTTGATTTCCTCTAAATCGCAAACTTCCATTGTCTGATTTCATCAAAATTGCACATCATCCTGACTGATTTCAGCCTAA